TGTCACTCCACTGCAAATCCCCTCCCATCCTACGACAACACCTCCTCCGTCGCAACCTCCCCTTCGATGGCCCGTTTCCACACCGTAGCCGGCCTCCCCAAACTCTTTCCACACTTTTTTAAATGAAACAGGAGTACTAAAGTCTATATCCATCACTTGTTAAAATTTTAGAAGCGGTAAGTGACTAGCGTAGGGTACAATTTTGGGTTGATTACAATTTGAAGTTAAAATAGCAATTGCGAAGATTTGAAAGCTGTTTTCGAAGTATCTAGAATATGGGGGCATAAAACAATACAACTGCAATTCTAATTAGATTAAACAATCGAAGTCTCAAGAACAAGAAATGACTTTGATAAGGAACACACACACACACACACACACACATATACGCAGTGGTATAATATGTTGAAAGAGTTCCAACAATAGTCTAATCTCAGTTCTAGGATCACCAATCTTGTCAACATATATGTGGAAACACACTGCAGGTGGTAGCATAAACTGGATGAGAGCTCGGTGGAGTGGGGTGGAGTTAATTAGGTAACATGGTCTTAATTAATTTAAAAGCAAACAAAACTACAATTTTGAAACTAAAAAAGGAAAATAAAATAAGACTGAAGAATAAACTGCAGAAACTCACAAAATATGAGGTTTTGATCAAACCTTACACAAAACAAACGAAATGAACAGCAAATAATTTCCTTCAGACAAATGTCCACCAGATATTGAAATTATGCAAACCAGCTTTCCTTCCTATTTAACAAAATGCGTGCATTACAAATATAATGATACACTATCAAAGATGTTAACTTTCTTCAATTTCCAGTTTCCAGAAACAAAATGAAGGCCTGAAAGTGAACCATAGAATACAACACAGGAAATGTGATAACGAACATTAATTTCCTGACAAGTTGCACCACAGTTTAATGTTGTTGAGCATAGAAACAACTACAGAACGCATAAAAATAAAAAAATTGACCAAAAAAACAAAGCCAATGCATTGCCTAACTGAAGAAACAAATTTCCATATAAGGCTACATTTATTAGAGTAATCAAAGGAAAGGCTACAACACGAGGCAGCTCTAAACCTAGAAAGAAAACACTGGGGGAAATAAAAAGGCACCTGCTTTGCGAGCATTAGCTGCTGATGATCGTTAGGAACCTCGCCCCTAACCTCCACGATCGGGAGAAGAGGATCAACGAGATGATCGAGCAGGGCCTCGATCGTGTCCTCCGTCGGCACTAAACCCGACGGATCCATCAATACGCCAACAATCTAGGGTTAGGGTTTTCTTTTATTCTAAGAGTTGGAGATTTCTAGGGTTTTGACTTTTGGGGGAAGAGGGGGGCGTTTTAGTGGCGAATCCTGCAGGGTTTTGGGCGCCAATGGGGGAGAACGAAGGAGACTGAGGCACTTTTCTCGCTTCCTCGGGAGCTTGGAAATGGGTACTGTGAGTGGAATACGCGATCTCGTGCAAGGGCGGTAGGAAGCGTCCACGTGGCAGATTAGACTTTTCCTTTTCTTGATGGGTAAATATAATAGGTATTATTTTCCTTTTTTTATAGGGAAAAAAATAAAAAAAAGACAAAGAGAGTGCTATATAACACGGAGTCCAACTATTCACACTCCCAAACAGTAAATTTGGGGGTGTGTGAGAACTAAATTGCCCTTCTCCCAAACCAAAACAGGCCAAGTCCATTCCAGAAACACCATCAACATCAAAAGGACATTTTCGGCAATCCAACTCCCAAAATTACTGTTTGGGAGTGGATATAGCAAACATGTATAACACGGCCCTGGTATCATATGATTGAGCTTGGTGTTTTTGTCCTAAAGCCTGACTTTGCTCCGAAAAGTATACGATCTCCCCTGTGGGGTTATTACCTAGAAAAAAAAAAGAAAAGGAAAAGGAAAAATGAATCTGTGCAAAGTTGACAAAAATAAGCAACTTTATAATCATATTATTATATTATATTATATTATACTTTTCCTTTTAAAAACACGAGTTTAGAAAAATCTTTCGGTAAACAAAATCACCCTTGGAATTCAAATACTAATTCATTAAGTAAGAGTAAGTTGATAAATTGATGAATTCTTATTGGATATACATAGTATGAAGATAATGATATAGTTTAAGTTGAAATGTAAAGCTGAATGAAATTATTAAATGTCAAATTCACAAATGTTTACAAGATGAAGGGCGTATATGCATAAACCAAACAATTTAATTAGGCAAAATAATGTTTACTCTAAAGATCGAACCAGGGGTAGTGCAGATCTACAAATGTACATAATGTGGACAATGTATCTGTAAAATCCACCAAACAAATTAAAGAGACAAATCATTCTCAAAAATAAAAAAATAAAAATTTAAACCAAATGCTGTGATCTGAGGACACAACGTGGCGATCTCTCATTGACTAAAATTCAAGTAGTTCACGATAGTGCATAATTAGTTTCAAAGTTTAATTATACTATTATTATTTAAATAGAATTCTATTTACATTTACTATCCTCTCACATGCAACATTACATACTAATATATATAAGCTAAAAATATATAATAATTTTCACAGCACTTTCATCTGCTTTTACAAAATACCCTTGAAATTCAAATACTAATTCATTAAGTAAGAGTAAGTTGATAAATTGATGAATTCTTATTGGATATACACATTATGAAGATAATGATATAGTTTAAATGAAAATGTAAAACTGAATGAAATTATTAAATGCCAAATTCACAAATGTTTACAAGATGAAGGGCGTATATGCATAAACCAAACAATTTAATTAGGCAAAATAATGTCTACTCTAAAGATCGAACCAGGAGCACTGCAGACCTACAAATGTACATAATGTGGACAAGATTGAAAGCACCCTAGAGGGGGGTGAATTGGGTTATTGCTAATCTTATTAGATATTAATGCCGATTAAAACTTATTAACAAATATATCCTAACAATGTAGATATTCAATGAGATATATGCAAGGATATATGAACAAGAGTAAACAAACAAGTGTGATAGTGCGCAAATAAACAATGCAAATACACGATATGATTACGGAGTTCGGTCAACCACTTGACCCGCGTCTCCACTCCTTGTTAGCCCTTATGTTTTGATGATGTTTTACAACCACCATTATCGGTACTAATGGCTTATTGAGTGCAAATGTAGTAAATTCTTTTATCAAGCTCGTTAGTGCCATTAATGGAGGATGGATGGAATATCTACAACGATGATATCCAAAGGAGGAGGAGGCCAAGAGATGAAGCAACGTTATTTCAAGAACGAAAAATTCGAATAAAAGCTTCATCCGATTCAAGCTATATCAAAGCTCAAGTATTGCTCTCTATATGAGGATATTAGCTTTCTTTTGTTTTTTCTCTCTAGTGCTAGAATGTAGGCAAAGAGTTACTGAGTTTACTTGAAGCTATTGGGAATCACACACACGATTTCATACTTATGTTTTTTAAGCGTTTTTCATAAAATACTATTTTTCACAAGTATGAGGACCTATCTACAAAATTCCTTTTCCAAGCAGTTTGTTTTTAGTATTAAAAACATTTTACAAAGTTTCAGAATTTTCAGAGGTCAAATAAATATTTTGCAAATATTTCAAGTTGGTCAAAAAACTGTTTTCTGCAATATATCAGAAAGCGGTCGACCGGTCCGGTCGACCGCTCTCATGGCCACTCGTTAGTATTTTCCAGAGAAGTCGTCGGTCGACCGGTGCGGTCGACCGAAATTTCGATTTCTATATCGGTCGACCGCGCCGGTCGACCGACGGTGGCTCTGTTTGTTTTCTAAGTTTTCAAAGCGGCTCGCGGTCGACCGAATTTTTCGGTCGGTCGACCGACGGTATTTTCGGTCGACCGATTATTTCTTCGGTCAACCGATTTGGTCAGCCGCGATTTTTTAAATTTAAATTGATTTAATCTCTTCTATAAAAACCCCAGACTTCTTCTTCTCCCTCAGTCCTAATGTTTGCAAAAACCAGAGAGTCTGCTGTTTCCTGAGAAAAATTTTCAAAGTCTGGTTTCTGTGTTTTCTCTCTGTTTTTAAGTGTGATTCACTTCCCAGCTTCAGTACTTTTTCTCTTTGCTATAGGGGCTGTGTAAAGAGAGAGTCTTGCATCTTTTCTTCTGCTGTGTGAGTGAAATCTTGTGTAGATCAACTGTGAGGGAGTGTGATCTGTTGAGATCAAACTGTGTAGTGAGAGAGATTGTGTGGGATCGCTGTGTAGACGAAGTTTCGGCTTCCAAACCGGGTGTGTAGTGGATTTCTCCTCGAGAGTGGGGAGCAGGGACGTAGGCCAGAGGGCCGAACCTCGTTAACACATCGCGCGTCAAGGATAACGAACTCCTAACCCTATCTCTCTTACTTTAATTGCTTTACTGTTTTGTGGTTTGCTTGTGTTTGATTTTTATTGCATATTAGAGCCTCTTGACCCTAATCACCCCCCCCCCCCCTAAGGGTCTAAGCAACACATCTCGATCAAAGTGCTTTCAGAGACTGTGGTTTAACAACCTTAGAGAAAAGATCCAATGGAGGCTTCGTTGAATATGCATATGTTAGAAGGACAATCCACCACTAGACCATCACTCTTCACCGGAACCAACTTTGCTTATTGGAAGGCTAGGATGAGAATTTACCTTCGTTGCATTGATCTTGACATCCTAGGGCTCATAGAAAAGAAATATGTAGAGAAGTCCAAAGTCGAGAACATGTCCGATGATGAAAGGCACATTGCCAATCTCAATGCTAAGGCCATGAAAGCCTTAATCTGTAGTCTTTCCCCCAATGAATACAATAGAGTTTCCACGTGTGCAACCGCATATGAAATTTGGGTAAAGTTATGTATAACACATGAAGGAACCCCCAAGTTAAGGAATCTAAGATTAGTGGGCTTATGCATGATTATGAGCTATTCAAAATGCTTCCTAATGAATCCATTGATGCTATGTTTTCCCGTTTTACTAATATCATCAATGAATTACATGGTCTAGATAAGCAATTATCCATTCAAGAGATGAACTACAAGATACTTCGCTCATTGACTCCGGCATGGGAGCCCAAGGCTACGGCCATTGAGGAAGCTCATGACCTCACTACCTTAGCTCTTGATAGCCTTATCGGAAAGCTCAAAGTGCATGAGAAGAAGCTCAAGGGGAAGGAGAAGGAGGAAGTGCCATCACGAGAAGTTGAGGAGCCGTCACCAAAGCTGAAGACCATAGCTCTCAAAGGAGCTAGTGACAACTCATCTTCGTCATCGGATAGTGAAGTCGATTTTTCTAGAGAAGTGGCTCATCTCTCTAGAAGAATCTCTAGACTCATAAAGATGAACAAAAAATTTAACCCCCGATCTTCGTATAGGTAAATGTTTTGAATGCAATGAACCGAGTCACATCGCTAAGGATTGCCCCAAGCTCAAAGAAAAGTACATGAAGTACAAGAAGAAGAAGGCTATGTATGCCGGATGGGAAGAATCCGAACCAAGTGACTCGGATAGTGATGAAGAAGGAGCCAAACTTGCTCTTCATGACTTAAATGTTTGTTTCATGGCAAATAAACATGAGGGAACGTCACGGCAACGACGTAAGGAGATGTGGTACCTTGATAGTGGTTGCTCACATCATATGACGGGCAACAAAAAGTTATTTGCAACTCTATCAAGGATTGAAGGAGGCAATGTCTCCTTCGGTGGTGGTGAGAAAGGTAAAATCATTGGTATCGGTTCTATTGGTAAGAAACCCTCACCCATTATTGAAGATGTTTATTTAGTAAATGGTTTGAATCATAATCTTCTTAGCATTAGCCAATTGAGTGATAAAGGTTTTGATATTTCTTTTAAACCGGATAAATGCATCATTAGTATGGATGAAAAAATTATTTTTATTGCAAATCGCAAGTCTAATGTTTACATCTTTGAGATGAATGAGTTAGTGAATCAAGATATGAAGTGTCTTGCGGCAATTGATGAAAACCCTTAGATTTGGCACAAGAGACTTGGACATGCAAATATGGAGTTAATATCAAAATTGTCTAAGAAGAATCTTGTGAAAGGGCTACCTAGCTTGCACTTCATAAAAGATACAATTTGTGAGGATTGTGCCAAAGGTAAACAAACAAAATCTTCTTTCAAATCCATCCATGAGGTATCGACTTCTAAACCCTTGCAATTACTTCATCTTGATTTATTTGGTCCTATGCGTGTTACCTCTCTTGGAGGCAAACACTATGTTTTTGTGATTATTGATGATTTTTCTCGTTTTACATGGACAATATTTCTTGCAAAGAAAAATGATTGTTTTGAAGAATTTGCTAATCATGTCAAAAGAATTAAAAATGAAAAGGATTTGAAAGTTGTTAAAATAAGAAGTGATCATGGTGGTGAATTTCAAAATGAATTT